TACTATTACTACTACTACTAACTACTACTACTACTACTACTACTACTACTACTACTACTACTCCTGCTGCTGCTGCTGCTGCTGCTGCCGCCGCCGCCACTACCACTACAAGTGCTACTTGCTGCGAAAGTATGCTGCACTCTAGTAGTGGTAAGAGAAGTCGAACCAACTAGTTCCAACGACACCACGACGGCTGCCACTGCGCCTCCTTGTTGGCATCCTTTCGATTTGATGTGTGAGAAAGACCACTGCTACCTGGTTTCAGGATGGTGTGATGCGGTGCAAGGGGCCGGCCAGAGCCATCGACCAGGTGGCAATGCACGCCGACATGAGGCGCTTGCCGGGTTTCTGTGCGGCCTTTGTCAGATTCAAGCTTTGTCGAGGTTGGTGACGGTGGCTTTTTTGGGCGGTATAGTGGGGAGCAGAGCACAGCTTTGTGAGTGACATGCTTGCTCTTTCTTCTTAGCTTGGTTCCGAATGCATCTCTTGGAGGCAACTTGACACGAAGCTAACTATGATCTTGCGCAACATGGACGGCACTGCTACCGAAGATGCCGAAGAGGAGGCCCTATGTACGTTGGTGGATAGGGCTGGCAAGAGTCGAGACGGATTGTCTTCGAGTTCTTGTGTGGTCTTTCTGCTTCGGACTGTAACTTTTTTCTCAATGAACTGTAGCAACCGCGTGTCCTTTTGTAGTTATTGCAAGTGTGTTGCGGATTCCGCGTCCTGAAATGGTCTTGTAGCTTGTACTTGGGATTTAGGGCTAGGGGTTAGGGCTGGTGAAGATGCAGAGCTTGCCAAGACTTTAACTCCATACACGAACGAATATGTCAAAGCAGCGGACACCCTGACCAAGACTACTCGTTATCAGGCCTCCGGAATGACTCCTCACTCTGAACCCCATTTCCCACTATCTGTGAGGTCGAACCTCGTTTTCCTTTGTTTTGTCTGAGGTCCCACTTAAGGCTCTTTGGTCTCTTTCTGCGCAGTGCAAGTAACCTGCTTCCAAGGACAGGGCCATGCGTGCAAACCAGGCACGCAGAGCTGAAAAGATGATGATGTTCCGCACCCAAAACACGGTGTTTAGCCATGGATGAGTGTTCACAGGACCGTGTTCCGGTTGCATTCTGATTAGTCGCGCCGTCGTGTTTAAATGAGATACCCTGAATTCTCCAGGGTTTAGGTAGGGTATAGGTTCACGGAGACCTTGATGTGAGGAGCTTCATCAGATGGATTACAATGAACCCATGAAACCCCAAACAGCTTGCAAACCGGGCATGGGTCCATTTTCCTTTTTTCCGAACTTGGCAGACGCGCAAGTTCTGTGACGCACTATGGGTTGCTACTAGGTTTTGGTC